TTCATAAATTCATTTAGCTTTGAGCCATACATGACCGTGATTCTTTTGTTACAGGCAGCAGCTCATGGTTTGCTTAATGTTGCCACCAAAAATGGAGGTCCTGTTGCTATACATAGGGTATGAATCATCATTTAATGTGTTTATTGGACATCAAAGAATCACAAGCATTCACAAGACTGCAGTTTAAATCACAGTTTTGATAAACATTGAGATACACTCTTTTCTGATCTCTGGTCGCTTGAGCCCTGGTGATTTCGATGTTTTTTTTCTGCAATAGTGGCGGTGGCTGCTGCTATTAGACTGTTAATCCTGAAGATGGTCCCTTTGTAATTGATTTCTGTTGCCACACGCACATTGAACATCGTTGTGGAGGGGAAGGATTGAGCAAGACCTTGGTTCGTCGGGTGGGATCGATTAATAAGAAGGCAGAGGACAAGGAGTAGCTTGTTATTTGCAGCAGTGCAAGCAATCAGTTGCATGCCAACAGAAACTATCCCCTTTCCGATGTCATGCCTGTTGACAGCCCCGACGTTGTTCAGACATCTCAAGATTGTTCGAGCTCCGATATCCATGAGAATTGTATATTCCTGCAAAAAGCCATAACTGTTTGCTCTTACAGTTAAGTTTGAATACCGGCTTTTAACTCTATTTGCAAGGCTGTTGTATCATTAAAAATGTGTTGAATTCGGGTGACTGGCAGTACTCGGCATAGTTGCCCTATCATAATTATCCAGCACTAATGTGATATTTGATATACAAGTTGCTTATACAGATATCTGCTCGTATCAAGCCAATCTTTTCCATGTTTTCTGGTTTATGATATACGGAATGTACAAGGAGATCATTTCCGCATTTTCTTCGTAATATTTGCCTCGAGAAGTTGCAGGCCGACATTGCTCAGCTGCCAGTGAGGCGGCATGTGATGAAGACCTGATTGGTAGAGAGATTTAGCTGAATGTTTTTATGTATGCATTAGAAGTAGCCGGTGTGTTTAGTATATGCACATGCGTGTAAGTAGCTTATGTGTGTATATGTAAAGACATCTTTCTGGTTAGTATGCTCCAGTGGCATTTATTCATGATTTTATCACTGTCATATCATTTTAGTGCTGATATTTGGAGGATTACAGGGAACAACAGATCTAATTGATTTGAATCGAATATCAACTCCGGAATCGGATGTTACCCTACCGGCAACCTGTTATGCGGTGGCTGTTCTATGTACTCGCAGGGGTCCGTGCTCCGGCTCCTATCAAACAGCTTTTGCCAACATTTGATCCGCAATGGTACTTTGTCTACCTTGCCAGAATCACAGCTCTACTCTTGTTCACCATAGTTACACCATCATCACCAACCCTGTCAACCGGCAATCTTGTGTCTTCTGTGTCTCTATTCGCTACTGTCCCCGGAATTTATGACGCGGTTGACAAACCGCGTCAACCGCTCCAATCCGCATAGCAATGTGACTCTGGCCTATGAGGATGCCCTGGCCATAGTCATAAAATAAATCGCAATTTTCACAGTGATGAATGCATTGCCTCATTACGGTGCTTGGCGTGACCGGGACAGCTCTTCAATTAATTCATCTTACCGTGACCAATATTGATGCATTGCAGTTCCCATATTGAACTGTTAGCATCTGACTGATGTTCATTACAGTCCCCAAGCTGGCTGCTACAGAAAGCCAAGAAATGGTCGAAAGAAAAGTCAACTCGTCAGCTAAAATTTGGATCACTAATTCGGACAATCAAGGATGAATAGAGGGATATTACCCTTGGCAATTTTCAAATTCGCATATAGTTTATATATATTTTTTTTGTATTTTCTATTGATGATCTAATTTCATACTCCCTTAACTTTTATAATTCCGCACCCCAAATTTCTAATATAAATTCGTATTCCAGTAATAAAATACTATGTCATTCCCTGCTAATAACCGGGTGATTAAGCTTGAATTAATAAATTGAAACCTGCATCAACTTTTGGAAACAGTTGCAGGATCCACAAGCTACATGGTTGGACTTTTAGCTAGCTGCATGTGACACAAAGCTCCATAAGGTTTAGGATCCAAGATTTGCCTACCAACACGTTGCTGAATTTGATGCATTTTCATATACTACATAGATTTCATGTTAGAAAAATATGAAATTTTTATTTAAAAAATTATATATACAAAATTAGATTATAAAAAGAAAATACAAAATAAATATTTAAATTATATTAAAATTTAAAATTTTTATACAGTACGACCGTTCTCTAATACTCCCTCGATCTATTTTTGTTCTCGTATGAACACCGTCTTACCCAGCGAAAGCATTGGGCTTAGAGCTCAGACAATTCCCCAGAATCTGAACTCAACTTTCGCCATCAAACTAGCTGACCTTTTAACCTTTAAGACCTTCAAACGTGGGGGCAAAAAACAATGAAGCTTATTGAATAGTTGTAGTTTCAACATTAAAGCAACATCGGTCTGCAAAAGCAATATATTTCTAATCCCCATATACATATATATATATATATGGTAAAATACACTTAGATGACTCAATAATTTTTTGACAAAAGGACAAAAGTGTCACTTTTGATTTTATAATAGGCACAATTTATTATGTTCGCCTCTATTGTATTTTCGCATCAATCTAGTCATCGAAGTTGCTCAATTACATCATTCTATATCCTACTATTCACTTAAAACCTTCAATTGAGATTTCTAAGTTAAAGATTAGAGTTTAGGGTTTAGGGTTAAAAGGTTATGAGATTATGGTTTAGGGTTAAAAGGTTATGGGATTATGGTTTAGGGTAGTGTATAAAATGATGCAATTAAACAACTTTGAGGGTTAAATTGATGAGAAAATACGATAATATCAAAAATGATAAATTGAGTCTATTACAGGGGCAAAAGTGATCCTTAATCCTTATTTTTTTATTACTATAAACATTCAAAACACATTTACAAACTATGTGTTTGAACCTATAACCTCAAAGAATAACAATCATATTAACCACTAAGGTCACTTAATTGTTAGTTTGGTTACAAATGGGTATTTTTTTTACAAACCATCATCCAATTAAAATATTGTTACAAACATATCATTCATTGTTAAATATTATACGTAATAGTGACGTAGCTTGATATAATAACAATTTTAGTACCAAAACTTATACATTTTATCAGTTTAGTTCATTCGAAACAATTCAATAAATTTTGCATTCCATATTTAAAAATCTATCAATTTAGTCTTTATTCTTCTCCCATTAATATTATATTATTTTCCTAGTATAATAATATTTTAATATTAATTGTTGCTTCTTTATGGTAACATACAATTATCAAACTATTATGTTGTTGTATGGGCTTGTTTGGTTTGAAAATATCATAAAAATGAATAAATTGGTAAAAAATTTAAATATGAAAGGTCAAATTTATCATATTGTTTTAAAATTTTATCAAACTAATATAATACTTAAGTTTCGGGAACTAAAATTCTTATTATACCAGGCCAAATTAGACATATGTTTCAATTTTCACGATGAAATTACATATTTGTGATAATATTTTAATTAACTAAATTGTAATTTTTGCGAAAAAATAATATTCTAATTGTATCCAAATTATTAATTGAATGACATATGATGTCTTTTACTCTACACATACACACACACATATATATAATATTTTGGTGCAATGTATTAGAATATAAATATATGTTTAATCAGGGGTATAAATGAATGAGGCTTGAATGAATAAGAGTGTGTTCATTTATTTATTTATTAAGGTGTTTGTGTTCAATTCGTTTAACATTCGCGAATATGCTTGTTTAATGTTCCACAACCAACACTCTATTTTTACTTTTTATTTACGAGTCAAAGAAAAATGATGAAATTATACTACTAGTCCTTAAACTACTTAGGCTTCATATATTGAACTCCAAAATTTACTCTGCATTCAATTTAGTCTCCACTTTTATCAATATTTAAAATGTAAAAAAGAAAAGAAAAGAAGAATCGGGTAAATGAGTTAATAAACGAGCTCGTCGTGACCAGAAACACACTGAACACATATTTGTTCGTGTCCATTTATTTATTAACAAACATTTTTTATTCATATTTGTTTATTTAACTTAATAAATAAATTAATATTATACAAATGGTTCGAATAATTCATTAAACGTTATCATAATTTTACACCCTATATTTGATGCCATAATAGTGAATTTTTTAGAAAAATAATATGATATAATCAAATATGGAGTAGATACCCGAGACATAAGTATATAAAATGCGAGAGTTATTATCTTTCTCAAAAAGAAAAATTAGTCTAATAATATATTTTATATTAATCAATTAAACTTTTATCTCTTTGTCATTTTTAAAATTAAATATTTAATAAATTCTTACTGAGTTAAAATTAAATAATAAATTTATATCAATATTAATATTTACTCATGACTTAAGATGATATAGTTAATTTTTTTTGAATAAAAGCGACTAATTTTATTAAAAACAGAAAATATCTAAATTATTAACACACAAAAAATTAGTCATTTAATAACACAAGAAGATCATATAAGAAAATGATTAAAAATCTAACTAAATAAATTCGAACAAAAGATAAATATAAATAGATGACGTAGATATTAATTTCAGTCAACTAATTATTATCTAATAATTAAAAAGTATTCTTATATAAATCCAATTAATTATTTAAGATACACTGCCTTGGGTAGAAAAAGGGTGGAAACCCTAGGAGCTTTTAATTCACACACGGAATAAACAAATCAAGATTTCAAACACCGTGCTGAAGATGCCATGTGATTTACTCATTACATCTCATCACTGTATGTAACTAAGCAAATCAACTTATTATATCTATATGTATATATATATATAGCAAACTGAAAGTTCTGCTAATCTTGGCTCTTCAACATGCAGATGCAGCGGACAATGTCTTCCCATAGGAAACACCATTGAAGAAGAGAAACTGAAGAAATATTTCAGTAAGCCATGGTGGGAACCTCAAGCTGCCATATATTCTCCTTGTTTTTTCCAGCTTTATTGCTTCTTCTGCTTCTTCTTCCTTCCTCTCCCCTTAACAGCAACCGATTTCCCCAAGTTTTGACTTCCTTCTCGCCTTTCCTTCGCGACGAAACCGATCAGACGCCGTCGCCGCCGCGTGTTTCCCTCGACGGGGTTCTGTCGACTTCCGTGTATAAAAGCAGTAAACTTAATACTGCAATTATCAAAGTGAGCATTGTAATAATATATGAAGGTTTGCTGGTTTTGTTTTTGAATTGTCTGAATGAACATTGAGTGTGTGTGTGTTTTTATTTTTATGTTTTGTCTATTGGAAGAAGAAGAAGAGCAACCTGGAGAAGATTGAAGATGATTTGGCTAAAGCACGAGCTGCCATTCTCAGAGCAGTTCAATTGCAGAATTTTACATCAGAGAAAGAAGAGATCTTTGTTCCAAAAGGATCCATTTACAGAAACGCATATGCCTTTTACCAGTTAAGTACTTAAATCAGTTTGATGTTATTCGAATTCGAATATCTATGTCATTCGAGCTCGGATATATTAACAAAAATTCTTTTATTTCATCATCAGGAGCCATGCAGAGATGGTGAAAAGGTTCAAGGTATGGACATACAGGGAAGGAGACCCACCATTATTCCACAGTGGTCCACTGAACAATATATATGCCATTGAAGGACAGTTCATTGATGAAATGGATAGCAATAAAAGCCCTTTCAGGGCTCGCCATCCGGACGAAGCTCACGTATTCTTCCTGCCATTGAGTGTAACCGGAGTGGTTCACTATGTTTATCGGCCTATAACCTCGGTTAAAGACTACTCACGCGATCGACTGCAACGATTAGTGACGGATTATATCGATACCGTGTCTACTAAGTACCCTTACTGGAACAGAAGCAACGGTGCTGATCATTTCATGGTCTCGTGCCACGATTGGGTATCGTTCGAACCTCGATTTTTTCCTTTGCTGTATCGGTTTCGACAATGTACAAGCCCACGTGTGAATGTTGCTTGTTTTTCGCTATTGCAGGCACCGGAAGTTTCAAATGCGAATCCCGAACTGTTCAAGCACTTCATAAGAGTCGTCTGCAATGCAAACACTTCAGAGGGATTCCGGCCTAAAATCGACGTCTCGTTACCTGAAATTTACCTACCCTTTGGAAAGCTCGGTCCACCGAACCTCAGCCGGGGTCCGGACCACCGAACTGTACTAGCTTTCTTTGCTGGTTCACCTCATGGATATATCAGGGAAATCTTATTGAACCATTGGAAAGAAAAAGACAGTGAAGTCCAAGTCTATGCTCGGCTTCCCAAGAACCTCAATTACACCAAAATGATGGGGCAGAGCAAGTTCTGCTTGTGTCCGAGCGGGTTTGAGGTGGCTAGTCCGAGAGAAGTCGAGGCCATTTACGCCGGGTGTGTCCCGGTGGTGATCTCGGACAACTATACATTACCCTTTAGTGATGTGTTGAATTGGAGCCAATTCTCGGTTCAAATACCAGTGGGGGAAATACCTGAAATCAAGAGAATTTTGCAAGGGATACCGGAGAGCAAGTACTTGAAGATGTATAAGAGGGTGAAGAGAGTCCGGCGACATTTCAAATTGAACAGGCCGGCGAAGCCATTCGATGTGATTCACATGGTACTTCATTCGGTGTGGCTAAGGAGGCTGAATTTTAGGTTGCCATCTTGATTTCTAATGTAGGAGAGCAACATGTTTTGACCCATGAATTGTTGGTTTGTTTTATGTGTTATAATTATGTCGATCGGTGCTCAAGTATGTTGTAATTAGAAAGTAATAAAGTGTAAAAAAAAAAACAAATGTTTACGTAGCTCAGATTCATTAACTAATTCCGAACTATGTGGAGATTAGATTCAAATACCGATAACATCAAAAAGTACAACATTTTTAACAAGTCAAAGAGAATTGTTCCTCGACAAAGCTCAATGAGTGAGTGTACGCGCAACCCGATTTGCCGCCTGTTCACGTATTGAACTTTGATGTTTGGGGTTTTAGCAAGAATCTCGCATGTTTTGTTGAACATCAATCTAATTAACGACATATCTTATTGCAAATTATTCAAACGGTTGACGATAGAGATAATTGAAATGGAGCAAGACGAGTGAAGAGTAGGACCCGGTCCGAACTAAAAGATAACCTACACCCCTATAGTTTGAGTTTTACGAGAGTTTTTTTATTAAGATATCCTACCACTTTTCTTTTTCTTTCTGAGCGTTACTTTTGTAAAGCTTGAAGGACCTATTCTAGATAATACCTATAAATTTTATAATAAAATGTGAAATCCGGTTACGAGTGGCCCTGAGTTGTCTCGAAGATTCATGTGACTGATGTTGTACTTGTTTTGGAAAAAAGATTGGGACCTCCGGGGCACTTGCAAGTTTATTTCTTGAGATATTTTAGAGAGGAAAAATGCAACCTATAGCAACAGATTTTCTTTATCTCTGGGACAAGATTAACATTCATGAAACTACATTATTTAAAAACAGCTAAGCATGGTTAATCAACATCTTTGTTGCTAAACAATTCTTGCACAGAGAAAATAGATATGTTAAGTCAGTAGGTTGGTCTCGGTTAATGGGGTTAACATTTAACAAAGTTTGTGCTTCAGAACTTTACAACGAAATAAATTGTAGGGTCTTCATTAATATATCGTTTTTCTTGCTTTAACTTATTAGGCAAGATTGATGCAGTAACAACTTTTCATCGATTTTCTTTGTTCTCTTTGATGCTTGACAAAAATTTCCTTGCGGTTTGCAGAATATATGCATGAAAATATTCCAACATATCCTCCTATGGGTTGAAGCGAGAACATACTGGATAGCTTTTCGATTTCTCATACTAGATTTTGAATTGGAACTTTATTCTACCAGTGAATACTGCATGGTATACTGGTATGCTGTCTTAATCAAGCTCGCATAGAAAACTCATCTTATGATGGCTGACAGCTTTGACACTGCTGGTACTCGTTCTTTGCTATGATATTGTCTATGAGGCACATGCAGTTTTGTTCAATTTTCTCATACAAAATATTGTATGAAGTATCATCAATTAATCAATTTGTAAACTGATGTATTTTGTTTTTCCTTTCTATGACCTGCATGCCGTTGTTATAAACAACCAAATCTACAAACGGTGATATTATCAGCTAAGCGGAAGGGGAAGAAGAGAAAGGACTCTCCTAAAGATTTGGTTAGGGAATCTCAAATCCCGCCGGCAGTCTTGTTCCTTCAATGCTATATATGTCTTGCTGAATGACTTACAATGGTATCATTACTTTATCTGGAAATTGTGATGTTTTAGTGATTGTGAGAGGGCATAATCTTCCAGTCTAAGCCAACCCTTTCATCATTTTTGTGATGGCAATAGTCTTCCGGTCTAAGCCGAGCCATTGTCATTTTTGGTTTAAACGGCAGATTTCTGAAAATAAATTGGTTTTCAATTGTCCTCAACATGTATATATAGACGGCACATGATGCTCGTCTCTCATATTAATATTTTGCTTCAATATTGTCAACTCATGTTCTCTATTAATCTGTTCAGTCTCTTTCCAGATGCTTGCTGCTTTGAGGAATGAAATTAATCTCGGTCTTCCAAAGTCCAGGCCCTTTCAATACTGAGCAGGAGGTGAAGTATTAAACTCCATATTTGTGCACACAAACATCGAGAATGTGTTCTAGCTTTTTCCGTTAACTGCATCGTATCGAGTTCTCAACCTTGTTAAATTGTATCCAGAAATTTGCTCAGCACTTTGAGCTTCTACAAAGAGCCTGCATTCCTGATCATGTTTTGTACCCGTCAAACGAGGAATCAACAACTCATGCTCCTTTTTCTGTGAGTACTGGATAAGATCTCTGTCCCGATCACCTCGTTCTGGGGCTTGTTTATTTTTCTCACGCATTGCTTTTTAATGCAGACACTAGCTATGTATAATGACTTCAAGGATGCTCAAAGGATTGCGAAGGAGGTGAAGAGTAGTTTCTCCAATGATCCAGACAGATTAGCGGAAATCCGGAAACTAGAGCAGGTAGCAGAACACAACAGTGTTGCTCAAAACCTCATCTGTCGGATAGGAGCTCTCGACCCGCCGCTGAATGTGTCTTTTGAGTTGAGCCACCATCCATTCTTTGCAAATGTTGTTGTCAAGAGATCATGAAGGTGCTAGTTTCTTCAGATGATCTCTGCCAATTTTGACATACCTTTATACATATAGGTTTAAGAGGCATTCGAGTCCCCCTTGGGTAGCAATTGTAATATTAGTATGTTTTAAAACCAAAATTTTTTATTATAGGTTAAAAATGTGATGTTAGACATGATTTTAAAATAAATAATAATCCAATGACTAAAATAGAAATTAAATAATATGCGGATGACCAAATAGGAGTTTACCATTTTTATAATTAGGTATTTAACTTTAATATTTATGTGTAATGTAGAATTCGGTTTTAATATTTATAATTAGGTATTCTTTTAGAGTATTTTGGCCCTAAACGTTTTACTTTGGGACAAAAAACTTATTATAGATGAAAATTATTAGTTAACATATGATTAAAGGTACAAAATAAGAGCCTTTTTAACCTAAAATGAAACATTGAGGGTTAAAATGCTCTAAAAAAAATAGAATAAAGAGTAAAATAACCATTTTAATAAATATTGGTGTCTAATGTTGATATTATGCTTTATGTTAAGGGAAGTCACTGTTCATGTGGTACAAAATGCATTGGGATTTGTCAGTTGGATCGACGGACCCACCTCTGCATGGGTGCATGCGTCCAAATTTGTACACTCTTCTTTTCTCATTTTATTGATTGATTCTTTTAATAAAATTTCAATTTGATTAAAAATTAAATATTTCTTAATTTTTTAATTAGATTAAGCAAACTGAAATATTCTTTATTTCTATAATTATTAGTATATAATTATTAGTTAATAATTTAAATTAAATATTATAAAAAGGTGGTGGACTGGAGCCCATTCACTAACCAAAAAGTGGAACTCCAAAGGAACACAATCTGTACCCCATTTAATGTCCACCATCCACTATTTATATACTTTTTCTTAATTTATATTAATTTATATTTATTCACTTTAAAATAATGATAGATCAATAAATATTAGAGGGCGATCGTATTTTTAATTTTTTTTATATATTTTATATACTTTATTAAAAATTTAATCTCTTTTAATTTTTAATATATTTTTTAAAACTTCATACATTTAATATAAAATTATGGGTATGCTCTTATTTAAAAGTATTAACATCTTAGTTTATGCATGTATTTTTTTTTAAAATAAACTAATTTTAATTTTGAAAAGAATAATAAAAAGTATACTCTGTTTTATTTTGTACAATGAGGACAGTTTTCTAAAAACTCAAATCTTACCCTTCCTTCCATCAATATTGCCCCAAGTTTATTCTTTGTTTTCCTTTTAGTTTGATGGTCTAACCATATTTTAGACCCTCAAACTTTTTAGAGGATGTCAATGTGATAGAGTAGGTTCGTGTAGCTCACAAGTTAAGGCTTCAACATAAGTGCAATTTTTGAATGATAACGTTGTAAATGGAGAAAATTGGGTTGTGAAAGTCACTTCTATAATAATTCTATAATATATGATTTAAATTAGTCGATTATTAGATCAATATTGATGATTATACTAAGATAATAGAATATTAAAAATTAAATATAACATTAATCCTACGACATTAAAATTTTCCCAACTTAGTCCATGTTTTTATCTGCATTGTAGACTTAGAAAATGTATAGGGACCAAAATGATAAAAGTTACTAAGTTTAAGGACTAAAATATGATTTATCCCTACTTTAAATAAGGAATGTAGCGACGCCGACGAGTGACGAGTCAGGACCCAACAAAACAAAAGCACAAGTGAAAAAGCTTCAGTATTTGTTGGACTTACATTTGTTGTCCCTAAAGAAACTCTACCGACTGATCTGTCTCTCTCTCATTCGGCTGCCCCAGGTTAGTCTTCTATAGCCTCTTTCATTTCTTACATATTGAAGATTAAAATTAGTCTAGAATTGTTTCCTTTATTTTCTTTTTTCATATCTAGTTGTTTATACTTTTTTTTTTATTTTTTATTTTTTTTTGTCTTGAGTGGAAAGTCAGAGGTGGGTAATTTTTGTTTGATTGAATTTTGATAGATTTCAGCTTCATTTTCGTTTTTGACCCTGGAAATGAGATGGGGTATTCTTGTTTTTTTGCTATATGGGTTTTGTTTTAATGTATTATTGTTTTTGATTGTGCAACTGATTTACTTGCAGGGCGAGATTTTGTAGGATTTTTTAAAAATTTTGTGTTGTTATTGATGAGAATTTCTGGAGATTTTGTAGGAAATTGTACAACTGATTTTTTTTTTAATTTATTGCTGAGTTGAAGGTAAATTGGAGTTTATGTGAAGGAAAGTAATGTTGTTTAATGGGTTCTTTTAATAGGATTTTTTGATTGAGAGAGAGAGAAAATGTCTGGAGGAGGCACGCAGAAGAGCTTGAGGATAGCACTTGGAGCCATCAAAGATACCACTACTGTTTCATTGGCTAAAGTCAACAGTGACTACAAGGTAGATTTAGCTGAAAATATTGATAACCAATCTAACTGTTATTTCAAGCAAGGATGTTGCTAATCCTTTTCGGTTATGCCGTTTTACTATTTTTCAGG